ACCTTGTACACACGAGATGTTTTCGTATTTTAACGAAACGATTGTGCCCTGTTATTGCTTCAAGTATTCTTAACTTTTCATTATATTCAGTTTATATTTTTATTATTTCAGATGAGCTTCTAAATGAGACGGCATTATTTAAAATAGCAGGGAAGATACGGAGGTGAAACGGAATTTAACGAAGTGTGACGGAAATTAACGGATTTAGCCGAAGTGTATATCGTGATCTATCGGAATGTACCGGACTAGTATTCTATCTGTGGATGTAATTGTGTTATTGTTGTGTTGCGTTTGTGTAACGTATGGATTACCTGATAAACTCAGAGTTGGTAAGTAGATTATCTCCCTTTGATAATTTGAATTGTCTCCCGTTGATCCAATAAAATGTCATACTTTGGTTTTGTAAATTGTCTCCCGTCATTCGGACTCATTCTACTAATTTAAATAGGGTTTCTTTTCATGTTTAATCATGATATTCAACCTTCTTCATCTTTTTATCCCTAAAATCTGATATGACAATATCAGACATCAAAATCCAAACCAAAGCCAATAACAGGCATGTAAAAACGAAAATAGGGAAGAAATATGTAAATATTGTAATTGTTGTCCTTTGAAATTGGATTGTCTGCCCTTAAGGCAAGTTTAATATAATGACAATACATGCCTCAAAGAATCGTTATCCAGTTTGTGGCCTAATGGAGGCAAATGCCTCACCTTTGAAACAATAACCAAACTTTAGAGGTGTTTTTCGCCCTCATTTTTACGTGTGAAGATGGCTTAAAGGCTCCATGTCACTCTCTCTCTGGGACAACATGACCCAGTTTCATCTTTCAGTATGTTTACTGAAACCAGAACTGGAACTGACGATAAATAGTGATAAAGATTTGAGACGAAGCACCCCAGGGACACGAGATATAGTCCATTGCTTATATTTCCTATTATCTTGACAAGATAGACCATATATCTTAATAACAAGTCCCTGTGGTACTACAGTATATACGGTAATTGAATCTACAAAGGAAATGAAGATAACAAAACCACGAAATCTGGAAATGACTGAAATGCTTTCCAAGTCAAGTTCTGCTTCTGTATGCCGGTCGATCCTCCGGTTCCAAATTCTCATAAAGCACAATCAATACCCTCGGGCGAAAGAGATTAGGAGAGAACCACACACAAGGAAGACAATTCCAGTTCTCTAGGATCTTTTTAACCAGCTGGTTCCTGGCTAATCCCGTTGTTTTTTTTTATCCAACAGTAAAGTTGTCTTATTCAGTTCCCATTTACAGCTGGGTTGACTTGAATAATGAGGAAAGGTGACTTATTCAATACCCATTTACAACCGGGTTGACTTCAATAATGAGGGAAGATGACTTATTCAGTACCCATTTACAACCAGGTTGACTTGGATATTGAGGAAAGGTGACTTATTCAGTACCCATTTACAACCGGGTTGACTTGAATAATGAGGGAAGATGACTTATTCAGTACCCATTTACAACCGGGTTAACTTGCATAATAAGGGACAATAATGGTGGGCTTCTCTGAATGTCCTGCCTTCAAACGAAACTGATATAGACGACTAGGTAGTTGGCAGTAAGACCAGGATAAATTGAATGATGTGGTATTTGAGATAACTTCAGATCTGGTCGATGTTGTGTTTATAATTGCATAGTTGATTAAAACTATTATTTTAATTCACAAGCTAAATCTTTGCATAGAACTGATATGGCGGTACGCACACCGTGCATTAACATCCGACTTCTCAATAGCTAATACCCTCTAGGACGTTATGCCAAAAATCGGTATACTGTTAAGGCGTCAGCATATTCGAAAGACACAACGGTTGGGTTCCAAATCACATGGCGGTGATACTCGGCCCTTGATAGTGTGGCTATAGTTACTCGCTCTTCTTTATTCTTCCAAACTCATAATGATCACGATGAATGTTGTTGAATGGTAGTGTAATGACAGTCGTTGGTTGAGTACGGTTAGGTTACATGGAACTACTAATAGATGAGTCGATTAGGATAATGCAGAATGATGATTAACATTAATATCAAATCAGCCATTCTCCGATCATTATCATATCTAATTATCTTAACCTTTATTTCATTTAATCATCGATCTTTGCCACCTGACCCATGTCAGTGCTTTTATGAGCCAATTTTCTCAACACATCTCGTAATTTCTATAAAATAATACACAAATGGACATCTAGTTTATGACTCCAAAAATGTCAAACTATTACGAACTACGTCAAATACCTTGACATCATTAGGCACATTTCGTATCACATTAAGTTTGTAAATGCAACAATTTGATTGGAGTGTACGCAAACGAATAAAGACCTCAACCATCAACATCAAAACTGTACACATTACGGCGTATGGTTTACACACTTTCTGTCGAAGGCTGTGAATGGCTGTATCCTGTAGCACATAAGCCAATCAAAACCTTCAACAACTTCCACAATACAAAATGAGAGCCTAATGCAGTCATGGTTTTAGACGCAGTTTGTAATAGCTTGACATTGTAAAGATGCCACTGATGTAGCTGATAATTCACTGCTAAGTTGGGAAACTTACAGACAATCACTGTTATCAATGGAGAATTTACAGCGTTTTTAGACCAATATCTTATTCTTGTTCTCAGCCACGTGACTTTCTACAATAGTCTAACGCACGATTTAACGAGAGTTTACGAGACTTTACGACTTTAGACTTAATTACGGCCTTAGTGTTGTGAATAAATCTATATAAATAACACCTAATAATCTCGTCTAATTTCTTTAGAGACTTGATTACCCAGACACAACCAATTACAAGTTACACCTTTGACCTACTCTCAGAGCTATTTCATTCCAATTGGATCCTGGTACTATCAGGCCGGTCTGGGATATGGTACTTACCAAATTCCATCGTCTGGCGAAGTCACACATTGTGAATATTTCTTGGATAAATATTAAATAATTGCGCACATGGTTATACTATACCTCACTTAAAAGGATTGTAAAATTGCAATGGTGCAAATCGATGATATCAGTGTCCCTTGATACACATATAAGGTTTAGAAAACCTCTTTATAATCCCAGTTGTTTGTGTTTGAGTTTAGTGTTCACTTATCTTTGTGTCTGAGTTTGCATCCCGGCATAGGCCGAGATAATACCATCAAATGTTTTAACCGGTTTTTCACCGGTTACTATTGCAGGTCGAAGATACTTTTATTTAGGAACCGAGTCACTCAATATTATGATGTTACATGATTTTCAAACCAGCCAACCAACAAGCTGCTATTATAGCTATCTTCATGTTTTGTTTTGTAAATATGAACACACACATGGACTGAATGATATATGAGTATGAACAAACTCGTATGAATAGGATTCGGTTTGATGCACCACCTCTGTATTAAATGAAATATGGTCCTAGCTTATTTTTCTTGGTAGGAGAGTGCCGATGGGTGCCTTTGAAGGAAAGACAACTCGCCCATGCCTTCATGACACGGTTGAAACAAGTACAGATCATACATGTAAACCTATATCATAGTTCCTTATGACCTTGTAAAAAACCAGAAGGAATCAAAGAGGAAGTATACTTGAATAAAAGATTATCAATTTATAACGAATTTCGTATTTTTTGTTGTGAAGCAAACTCAAGATTTTTTTTTTAATTGTGTCCTAACTTGTACCCGTGTACTGGGGACGAATTGAACGGGATAATATGTTTTGGACAAAATAGGAACAGGTTATATTATCCCATACCGTCCTGTTGGTAATTTTACTATTTTAGTAATATTAAGGTTGAGTAAATACGGTATTTTACTGGAAGAAGAACACCCCAGGGACCGTCTCGTAATAATCAACTAAATAACCTAGTCTACAAGTTATTACACGTGTTAATAAATCAGTGTCTGGATAACCTTGACACAATCAAACATGTCAATTACTGCTATAAATTACAGTTTGGGTTGAAGAGTAATTGTCTACTTCCGGTTGAACTGCCTGCGGGAATTGTGGGTTGAAATTAATTAAGCTGCACTATTATTAATTATAAACCTCTGTCCGATTTTAATTAGGTTTATAATAGGAATTCCTTTCATTCTGGTACCATGTTAGCTACATAATTGGCTATTGAAAGAATGAGATGGAATATCTTCCAGAAATTCCGTTGCTGATGAAAAGGTGCCGAGCAGCCGAGAGTTGTCCCTGGGCATTTTTGATGTATAGGAGACTGCAGTTTTCCTTGGGCTCTGACAATAAGTCGAGGTCACTGGAACACAGTGTCACCAAATTGGATGTAAAGTTCTCTGATGATATTAATGCTCCTATTTTAATATAAGAGAGCTGGCTTGAGGTTAAGCCCCGGCAATAAGTTTATGTCACTGTGACATTAAAGAGGAAGTCTGTATCCCCTTCACAAAGTAGGAATCGCAAAAACGAAACCTGTAATCCAAAAAACACATTGGCCACAGATTAGTAGCAGTTGATGAACTTTTCACATGAGGAAGTATATCAATCATATTAAGTGAGCATTTCACAATGAAAAGTGGTATCTGGTGTCTAGAAGAGTCTTTACTCCCAGTATTTAACGAGTTTTTTTTAGAATATTAAGTAAATTTAGCTTCGGATGAAAGAAAAGAAATTTATCATTTTTCCAAAAACACGATATAATATACATATTCCAAATTGTTACCCATAAAATATTCAGAAAAAAATAATTTACAGGTTTGAATATTATGACACTCGAAACTCTCTTCTGTATTCTAATTACTATCCGTAGATATCCTGAACCATGGTAGAAACCACAGACATACATAGAAATACGATATATTCCCCTACTTTCAGGAATAGATAGAACTGGAAAATTTAATTAACTTGATCTCAGTTTCATGTAAGTCAAAGATTTATCATAAAACAAAGTGGAATCTTCCACAAGTCTGGAATATTAAAGACCAATTGTCTGAGGTGGAATCGTTTTCAGGAATAATTTCCTACGTCTGCAATGCCTCTAGGGTTACAACATGGTGATAGACTATCGGCTGTTTTCAGACTAGGTCGTTATAAGATCGAGGAAATGACATAAAATTGATTCTAGGTTTGATCAGAGTTGCCTATGATTATTTAAACGCTATCAGGAATAATTTTCTATATTATCTTTACATGTAGATGAAAGGGGATTGAGCAAAAATGGTTCCCAGTTTGGGGTAATAATAAGCTCTGTGCGTTCCTATAATTTCTATATCATCTCAGATGAAAGGAGGCGGACAGCAATGGTGCCCGACTTGGGTTACATACTACCAGCGACACCATAGCGAGCATTTGAGGTACTTTATCACCCAGGGAACATCAGCGACCCTCCCTTGTGGGTACTGACATTGCCTGAGAGTGCTGACGAACACCATAGGGTTTACCTCTGCATTGGTTGAGTAACCAGCTAACACCACAAGGAATCCATGTATCATTCACTGCTTGCTAAATGCGGGCGGAGGGTTGGGGTGGGTTGGATATCTTAAGTTCGAACGACTGTGAACGGTGTAATCTTTACGAAATGTCAACAGTCTACCGCACCCATCTTAGTCAGAAGTGAACCAACCTAAATGATGTAAGGTCATCCGAACAACTAGACGCTCCTAGACGTTCAAATAAAACAATTTAACATCAAGCAATCGACTGCCCCGTATTCCAAGACATTAGGTTGATTTAGTATAAGATAATGGCCGAGTTACTCAGTTAGAAAGCCCGCGATAGAGACAAACGGGCCATTTATTTAGCAGTGAGCAAACCGCTCGGTATTAAGGTTCGAATAAAGAAATTTGAACAGTCAAACTGTCTACTGCACCCTATGGAGATATTTTAAGAAATTAGGTTGATTAAGAATAGAATGATGATGTTTTTTACATCAATTTACGTCAGTCAAACTTCTGGAATCTTGTTTCACTCAAGTTTTTAGCCTGGTGGAATGTTTTCATTAGTTTTTACGTTGTTGATAATTCATCGTTAATTAATGACTTAATAATCGAGACTATAACGTTATACTGTACGCATGATGTTCAAGTCTCAAGTGATTTTCGTAAAAAGATTGTTTCAACGTGAACTTTACATCTGCTTGATTCTAAATTTTCAACAAAATTTTGTCGAGATGCATTACCAATTTCCTTCTGATGTAAATGGAAATACCCGTTAAGCATTACTAGCTATGTGGACAATCAAGATGATGACAAGTTGACAAACCCAGTAGCATTATCTTTGAATAAGTTATCTTTCATGAATATTCCAGTCGACCCACCTGTAAATGGGCATTGAATAAGTCATCTTTACCCGTTATTCCGGTTGACCCACGTGTAAATTGGTACTGAATAAGTCATCTTTATCCGTTATTCCAGTCGACCAACCTGTAAATGGACATTGAATAAGTCATCTATACCTGTAATTCCGGTTGACCCAGCTTAAAATTGGTACTTGATAAGTTTTTTTTTCATGAATATTGCAGTCAACCCAGCTGGATTGGGTACGGATAATCATATAATGAGCAAGCTTTGGCAAAAAACCAGCTGGTAGAAAGGATCCTCGTTAACCTATGAAGTTGTCAAATAATTCTTCCAGACCACTCAGCCTTAAATTGGTATGAATAATCAATGCATATGGGAAGATCATTGCCAAGAGTCTTGGCCAAAAACCAGATGGTAAAAAGAATCCTTGAATCTTAGGTTGTTATCCTTGTAAAATTGGTTGTTTCTTTCTTTCTTTCCATCGTTACCGAGTTGTTTTAAGAATTATTTTCCCAAGTTATTTTCTCATCATAACAATACGAAACTAAGTGAGGTGTTTTTGATAACAAGATGGCGGAAGATGTTTGTTGTTTTTGAAAATTAACCCGACACAGAAAAATAAACAAACTGGATATTTTGAATTAATCTTCTACTATTTTCTTTTCTTCTATTATATATCTTTGACGTTTTTTCGTTTTCTTTATTCCATGGAAAAGGTCAATAAAAGCGAGTGTACAAGTTCTTAGTGTAATGAAGGCAAATGAAGCAGTTGCCTCAATTTTGAAACGACGACGAAGCTTTAAGAGATTCCTTTTTTTAAAAAAAAGTGTATTCCAAATGCATCTTTTGCTTCATTTTAACCTTTAATTGCGATATAGTCTTGTCTCAGTTCGATTTCGCAACTGGCTGAATCGTAGTGTAATTGGGTTTTTAACGACTGCTAGCAACGCTGTTGGCATCTTGAACAGTCTTGTCAACTGCTGAATATCGTCGACTGAAATAGATGCTCCCACCTTTGATCATGTGCTCTCTACAACAGGAGTGGAATTTAAATAAAAGCTTCTTTATCTTATTTTATGTTGAAAGTCACCATTCGAACCTCTCCCTCTGTGCTTTAGCTATCCACCCTGTCTACGAAGTAAGGGGGAAGGTACTTCCGGTTGGGTATCTTTTTATGCTCCTGAACCGTTTTGAGCATGATTAAAACTGTCGTATAAAATTATACTGAAGATCCTGATAAGGACATAATGTAATTTTAAGACTAAGGTCCTTTCAACTTTTACATTTTGTGTATCTATGACAATATGCTAAAATTTGTGTTAGGGTGATTTGAGAGTAAATTCCCCCAAAAAGCGCGGGCCAAGCTCATATAGTGTTGTTAAATTTAGTTCAGTTAATGTTTTCAAAATACAGAGAACAAGATTTATTATATTCTGACGGTATCGACTCATCACGATCATCTGAAAGCAAACCTATATCAAAAATAACTTATAAACACAAAGCTTCTTATTTTATAATTCTCGACTTATTCTTATAACTTTTTTTATACAGGTGCCTTGTTCGAGCCGGAATTTGACGGTCAGAAACAGTCCTTCGAATGGGCAGTGGAGAAAATCAACTTACGGACAGACATTCTGGGTCAGACTCTAGTTCTGGATGATGATCAAGTCGTACAGGCGCAGGATAGTTTCGGTGCACAGAGAAAAGGTAAGTGTTGGATTGTGATCATTGAATGAAATCATGGACTAGTTGTTATCGATGTAAAAACTCATGTGAAATACACGAACTGTTTTTAGCCTTTGTATGTATATCGGGGACACCGATATTTTCTGATTTTCTAGTCTTTTTATGAGTGTATGGGAAACTTACAGATTCTATTTACACCATGCTGATTTTCGTGACCTTTTTATGTTAATAAAGAACATAGATCATCTATTTGCATCATTCTGACTATCTGTCTGGCGTCTGTGGTTCCTGAAATTCTAGACGAATCCTAGTAGATTATGACGTCAATATCAACTGGCTCAAAGTAAGGATATAATATTGTCAAATTGTTCTGGAATTTCAGGAATCAATGACGTCAGACATAAGTATCCCTAATATCATTTAAAAATCGCGAGTTATGTAGGGTCCAGACAGTTCTAGGCAATATAGATATAAAATTTTTAAACTAGATCAGAAAGTTAAAAATCAATATTTTAATATCAATATTCATTCAGCTGCGGCATCTGGTCTATTAAAGGATTCAAATTATAATTGTGCTCATGAAATGGATAGGAATTTTAATGACAACTTATTCTCTCTTATTATAGAGTTCCATTTCGCATTTTTTATTTATTGTTATTGTTAGTAAATAATATTTGTGAAATTTGTATAGGAACAAAGTAGGCGTACTATTTGAAATTTTAAACAATAATATAGTTATTCATATTCATATATTATGAACTTGTTTTTAAATTATGAAATGTAGCCCGACTTTCGAATTCATGTCAACATAACGTTTATGACGCTTTGTTTTTAAATCAGCAGATTTCAACCTAGGGGTCATTCTAATTATAGTTCAAGTCGTTATGTTCTCCGACATTAGGAAAAATTTGCAGGAAACACCTGAGAGAAAATGATGAAATAATAAGGTGATAATAGAAATGATCAAGGATTGAGTAATAAGAGTAAAAGAAGGAAAGAGAAAATCTCTGTTTTAGATTATTGTATTGATAAATTAAAATATATCAAGTAATTCGGCACATGTATAGTTCTAAAAATCGCTTCGAATTTCTGAATTATTTGTTTATCTTATATATCTCTCCAGAAGTAGGACATTTTCTATCAAACTGATGTATTCCAATGCTGAAATCCAGAGCGCACCTACATGTGACCTAGGCCAGTGCTTCTATAAAAAAGTATCTCTTGAAAACCTTTTACTGGGTTTCCCCAGTAGACTGTGTTGAGTATCGTGAAAATAATATATTAATCAGAAAAAAGATAACCAAGGTGAAAACTACAATATATAATCAGGTGACCAGGTGTGGATGCTTAATTAATATTCAAGGTAATTAGTAAACAATAATAAAACAATTAATTATATTCATGGTCGGTGAATATCAAAATGATTGTTTCCTGGGTTACGAACACGTCAAATCATTCTAGTGTACTGAGTACAGTGTACCTTAACTGAGAATTTGATCAATTAGATATTCATTTATAATTTTGTGTCCCGATTTATTTGTCTTCATTTATTAGTTTTTTTTTTCAAGATAGATCAACAAAAAAATTATGCTAATGTCATGGTAAAGCTCCCTCATTGCGCACTGTCTTGTATTGCTCCTCTTGATTATTCTTATCTGAAACGTAGGATGTAAGACTTCATTTCAATTTTAGTATTCAATAAGCATTTAATGATAATGATAAAGACATAATGCGACAAGAAATGCGATTTGTACGAGTCAGAGCAATGCAATATTGGCTTCCGAATTGGTAATCAAAAATCGTACCAGCAAGACAATTTTGTTAACAAAAATTTCGTCCAAAGTATGGCAAAACCATCTGGTGTATAGTTGTATTCTCCTCCAAAGAGAAGTACCATCAGGTGTTTTGTAAAGAGTAAGCTTCGCGCGCGACACACCTAATATGTTAAAGTACGAACCAGGGCCGATAAGGTATTGAAATACGATTCGAATATAATACATCTACGGGCGAGGGCAATATAGTATTAAAGTACGAATTGGTTATAATGCGAGCCAGGGCCGATATACTTAAGGTGAAATGAAGTGTAAAATTATCCCTAGAATCATATCTGTTAATTTGAATAATAATTAGACCCGAATCATTAATTATTGTAATTTATGTAAATATCATGACCTTCACCCCATTCCACAGGTCAAGTTCAAGCTATTACCATATCGTAAAGTGAATGGTTAATGCGTTAGAGTGAGTCTATAGTCTAGCGTTAATAATCATCATGATCATTTATAAACAATATTTATTTATATAAAAGGTTATAACCTTAAACCCTTGTTTAAGTTTAATTATTGTTGGGTATAATGTTTTCACCAACAACATAGTTCTAATGTAAATCAGTCTAGAGTCCTCTACTTATTGTGGCAAAGGGTACATGTATCACTAATCTGAAAAGGCGTACGTAGTTCACGAATGAGATAAAATCATGTTTCCCTTGGTCATTGTGTAGGTTTTGTTTCCAGTCGGAGCCAAAGAGGGGACAGACGGGCCAGTCGCCCCCCTCGCAGCACCGAAAGCATGTTTGCGGGCAAGAATCTCACAACTAGGTTAGAAATTCTCAGATATATTTCGCCCCCCCCCCCCCCCACCCCCCTTCCGCCACTGTTCCAGTTCTCTTTGGGTCTTTCTTCTCGAAAACTGAACAATCCAAATTGTAAGAAATACGGTAGATGTTTGGATTATGAAACGAGACTCATCTCAGTAACACAAAGTTTAAGATCAATTCTAGAGTTTGACCAATCAAACGACTAGAACACTAAATCGCCTACAGTTTTCGAAAAAAATGTTCCAGGTACTGCAGAATTGTCAACAGGTTAAAAAATATTAATCTTATCTTTGTACATTTAATATCTTTCAGTATGTCGAATGGTACAACAAGGAGTGGCAGCCATCTTCGGACCCATTTCCAGTTTGTCTGCTGCGCATGTGCAGTCAATGTGTAATGCTTTCGAGATCCCCCATCTACAGTGGCACTGGGACCCCCGGGACTCACGTGACTACTATTCTATCTCCCTGTACCCACATTACCTCACCCTGAGTGGGGCCTATAAAGATCTGGTCAAGTTTTGGGCGTGGGAAGAATTCACTGTTTTATACGAAGACAACGACGGTGAGTTAATTTTGAATTTTTTTTCCAAAAAGTGTAATCTAATGCCACTGTCTGTCCTTTTAAACATTACAAGGACGTTGCCCTGTCTTCCCTAGCCTAAAGCTAATGCCGCTGTCCTGGCAAAATTTCCCTCATTGCACTCTGCATGGCGTTGCCCGTCTTCATTAGCCCACATGGTGCAGAAAAGTAGGACGTAAAACTCCATTCATTTCATATTTCATTTTCCTTAGCCTAAAGAGGTGTAAATTTAATTTCATGAGCACATATGTACATTGTATCGTTATTTATATAAGATGTGAGTGTTTTATTTGATGGTCTTAGATCTTGATGAGTATCTATCAAAGTCCTTTATTTTTCTCCTACTTACATTATCTGTTCCCCTTGGAGCAAAACATAATGCCCATTTAACATCTGTCTCTACAGCAAATTCATTGACCAAACCATCCGACTTGTCAGTTAAGAGGAATTGAGCGGCTCAACAACCATAAGGACTGGTTGAACCAAATCCACGCCCCATCAATATATATCAATTTGAAATGGACACGAAACGAATTGTATACAAATCTTAAGCAGGTGTCAAGAAAAAACATAACGCAGACGTTTATCACTAATTATTTAAAAATATATTAATTTAGACTGATAAGAAGACAAAATTAGATTGTTTCGTTAATTCTTTTAATCCCTTATCACAGAAATAAGAATCGTTCTTGTTGTAATGAAAGGCTTATATAAATTTCTTTCAAACAGTATCATATTCATACCCACTGACTAATCTAACAACAGGTGATGAACAAAAATCTTAAAAATGGTTTTCCTTATTTTTAGTGTCAAATTAAGCAAATTTTTGGATTAATTGGAGTTTCTAATTCAATTATCATGTATTCTTAATCATATCATTATGTTCTTATTGCATATAATAAAGAGATTTTATGTCCATGTATGTACAGTCTGGATAAACAAAAAAAATACTTTTTGACCTTTCTTGATCCGTCACTCATTGGAATTCTGCTGTTAATTCTCTTATCATTTAGGCTAAATGATTTAGCTGAATATGAATTAATTATGGACATGTGAGACAAACTGGTATTTTTATAAGTCATTAAAACACGTCTACTTTCTATTCATATAAGTATTAGCAATTTCATCAATGAATATAAGGGAACCCATCTTTGAAGAACAAAGAATTCGGTATTAATTTTTATATCTGATTAAAAGGTGATAATAATTATCAGAATAATCTTAATTTTATTAATTCCAAACTATAATATTTGTCATAGAATTGCCTGTGAATTGTAAAATATGATTTATTCCGATTGATCCAAAGAAATGATTTAATTCTTAAGGTCATGGGTCACATGGCCATGGGGCCATGGGGTCATTGGGCCCTTAGCCCTAACCCTCAGGCTAAATTCATAATTTAATAATGCAATGATTAAACATCTTAAAAATTCTATCACTCCAAGTCATGAATATGATATAATGAGAACTTATCATGAGCAAAATGAAGTAAACATCTTAAATCTCGTCGGAGCAAGACGATTTTTTTTATATTAAAGCAGAAAACCATTAATTTGTATTGCAAGCCACAATCTAAAATATTTAATGCACCACAATCTGAAGTTATGTAATAGAAAATCATAATAACAGAGACCAAATTGAACAATTTTAACAACATTTAGAATATACGCAACAAAAAAATTGAATAATATCAGAAAACCATAAAATAACACATTGAAAACCATAATCTTACAAAAACTTAAACGCTCTTATGGAACACAATTGTTATTTTTAAAGGCAGCTAATTGAAAGTTTGTATTGGATGATATTCACAAGAATCAAGACGTGTATTCTTTAAAAAGAATTTTACATTTATTTTAAAAACAAGATTTGAAAATGTTTTTGTTGTTTTAAGCGAAATTCGACATGCTATGACGTAATTTGAAAGATATTGGAAACTTTGAATCAGAAATCGAGAAGAGAATCAAATTTAAAATAATTGAAACGTTCCGCTTGTAATTTTTCAAATTGAAATCAGAATCCCGTTTTAGAGATATCTCAATCTTGAAAAGGAACTTCGACTTTTCTTATGAATAGATAATTTTTCGAGTTGCATAAAAATGCCTGTTGAGAGCAGATTCCATGACAGTAGGAAATCAGAGAATAGTAATTCAATGTCTTACTTTCTTCCATTACACACTGCATGGTGGTAAGTTAAGAATTGTAATACCCAACACACACTGGAATCAATAAATGATGAGGTTCAAATGAAATGGAGTAGGACGTAAAACTCCATTCAATTCATTATCGGCGTCGAAGATTCGGTAAGTGTACGCCAACCTTTACTACAAATGAAATGAAATGAATGGAGTTTAACGTCCTACTCCATTTCATTTGAACCCCCATCATTTATTGATTCCAGTGTGTGTTGGGTATTACAATTCTTAACTTCATCTCTACCCAGCTTTACAACAAATTATTGGGGACTAGATGAGACTTGTTGATCGTATTTCATCAAGTATTGCTTGATCTATTGTGTAGTATTACCTAATCAATGAGGCTTTTGGTAGGAAATTGGCTGTGTTTAAAAGTTGTGTTGATGGAATTTACTCAAGGAATTGGTTGGAATCAATGTCTATTACCAGGATTTACTGGAACTCTCAAAGTTATCAATAAGTTACTCGATATCATTAAGATGCGACTGCACTACGACAACTTGAAGTCGAAGGACAGCTTTTACAGCTGAGAAATTCAGGACCAAATATTTGACAAATCTTCCCTTATTACTTAATTTGCCATCCCACGTCGTGCTGAAAATAGTGTCGAGAAACTCCATTTCATTTCAAAACCAACAAGTTGTGCAGTAACATCATTATCGTTGTTATTAGTTTTTACAGTGCTGTGCGGGTTCGAATCCAAACCGGTGTCTCAGATATTTAATATTGACACCGCTTGTTTGAATTTTGTCATGAGAATATTTAAGAATTAACAAGTGTTGCTGACGTGAGCCTTCAAATGACCATGAGTCAGATTGGTCGATATTTTCTCTACTCACCATTGATATGCTGGGGGTGTGGTTATTGGCAAATTAAATTCACCAAGAATATTCCACACAAGTGACTATGCAGTCGAAATTTACATATTCTACATGTAACAAGGTCGGTTATTGGTCAAACTGAATAGTAACGTAGATAACGTAAGTCAGACCATGGTAGACCCTTGCTAAAGGCCGATGCATATTTATCGATTTTTTTACATACGTCAAATTATCAGGACGTACAGTCAGTGCACTCTTACCGATTTTTTTTTTATGGCAACTGGGGTGCCTCGATAAGCTTTCTGTATAGCTACCGAAAACGATATTCCATCCAGAAGTGAGCATGTGATACGTACATGGTTGACTTTTAACTAGGTCACGACAATTTATCGGGAACACTGGCACACTTGTCGACAAGGCACGTCAGGGCATCTTTCAATCAAATATACCAGATATCTCCCGATCACTCCCAATTTTGTCGTGGACCAACGCACACTGACCGATTTTTCGACTCCGATATTATCGGCGTCAAAGAATCGGTAAATGAACGCCAGCTTTACTACAAAGCGAACATTTTAATCTGAACTTGGCATTTGACTTTGAATCAGTTTTCATAAATTGACTTCTCTTTCCTCTGTGGTTGAATAATTCCTTTGATTAAATTTCATTTCTTCTCTTCAAGATTATAATTTACATTAGAAACCTGCAAAACTCGGGTTTACAATGAACAAACGATTTGGTTTGGTCTTGTGTCATATGTATTGGTCTGTTTAGGATTGTAAAAAGTTGTCAAGGGGATAAAACTCTACCCACTGTCGTTTCCATTCAATTAAAATCAGTAAGAAAAAATATAAATTTCCTCGCAAAACATTCTGAACTCAAGTAGCAAAAGTTTTTGACATGAGATTGGTCATAATGGCTGTTTGTTAAGCTCGAGTGGTTGGAATCTGACAGGAATATTGACATGACGAGCCGAGTACAGCCACTGACAATGGCTTTAAGATTATTTAACTTCGTAATTTTCCTCCAGACCCATTAACCCCTCGACTTTTAAGGGTTAACCCTTGTCAACTTTTAAAGAACTTTGAAGGAATAATCAAAGGCATTTCTTCTACTTTGGCTTTCTGAGAGATTTTCGAGATATTGTAAGAGTTCCATTACGGCCTGAGTTTGACATTAAAAGAAGATGTAAAGCCTTCTTGACGAACAATGCCTCTAATTATTCAGACATCACACAAGAATATCTCGGCTTCTAGCTGGAATTCAGTGGAATCTTGACTGTGGCTGATACAAAGGAATATTTCTCTTTCCACCAGCCGTTAGTTATCTGTAGAAATCTTTAATGATAGCAGTGAGCAAGACTGATTCGATACGTTTGTCCTTGAAATATTACAGAGAGAGAAGGGGGGGAGGGGACGGAATATTTCTCAATATTACAGAGAGAGAAGGCGGGGAGGGGACGGAATATTTCTCAATATTACAGAGAGAGAAGGCGGGGAGGGGACGGAATATTTCTCAATATTACTGAGAGAGAGGGGGGGAGGGGATGGAGGGTGACTAAGGGTATCACGGCAAAACTTTTTTATAATGTCGCATGGATAAATAAGTTTTGAATTCAAACATTTCAAATGTCTAATATTTTCTCTTTTATTCTTTATGGTTTTTTTTTCAAAAATTCACTTGTCACGACTTTGTTTTTCTTTAGAATAGATAAATAAATGAATAAATACCGTTCCGCCATGACAATATTAACAAATTTAAGAACCTGTTCTCTTTAATAAGTCTTTACAATGAAATGATAAATTGTGGGCTTTCTTTTCTTAATAAGATTAGGACCTGATTTGGTTGAAAATAACAACCCTAAAGAGAATTGAACATCGACTAGGGAACTAGAAGAAAATCAGGAAATGTATAATTTCGTTTTGGAAGCTATTATAATTTCAAGAGCTAATCGGATTAAATGAAAATGAAATATCTACCTTGTCATCTCTATTCTGATTTTTATTTGTAAATTAGATAACAATCTCATGAATATAAATTAGGCACTGTCCCCTGATACCAAATTAAATCAGTTTAACTTTATTCTATTTCTGGCATTGTCCAATTATATATTTCTCTTCGGGGCGGATTAAGGAATACACTCGTTTGTATATCCGATTACAACATTTTATTAATATTTCTAACCAAAATCTAAAATTTGACATTTATCTTTCACTACAGTGTCAATTGGATTATTTTCATATCGACATCATTACTTTTGTTGGCTTGTGGACTTTGACTTATGAATAGCAATTAGAATAGGAATATATCAGATGTCTTGACATTCTGTATAAGTTAAATCTCTAGGTTTTCTTGACATTGATCTTACAAGGATAATACTGAAGGTCTCCAGCTGGTCCTTGGTCAGATCTCTAGATAATGATCTTACAAGGATAATACTGAAGGTTCTCCAGCTGGTCCTTGGTCAGACCTCTAGATAATGATCTTGCAAGAGTAATACTGAAGGTTCTCCAGCTGGTCCTTGGTCAAACCTCTAGATAATGATCTTACAAGGATAATACTGAAGGTTCTCCAGCTAGTCCTTTGTCAGATATCTCGATAATGATCTTACAAGGATAATACTGAAGGTTCTCCAGCTGGTCCTTGGTCAGATCTCTAGATAATGATCTTACAAGGATAATACCTAAAGTTCTCCAGCTGGTCCTTGGTCAAACCTCTAGATAATGATCTTACAAGGATAATACTGAAGGTTCTCCAGCTCGTCCTTGGTCCGACCTCTAGATAATGATCTTACAAGGATAATACTGAATGTTCTCCAGCTGGTCCTTGGTCCGACCTCTAGATAATGATCTTACAAGTATAATACTGAAGGTTCTCCAGCTGGTCCTTGGTCCGACCTCTAGATAATGATCTTACAAGGATAATACTGAAGGTTCTCCAGCTGGTCCTTGGTCAGATCTCTAGATAATGATCTTACAAGGATAATACTGAAGGTTCTCCAGCTGGTCCTTGGTCCGACCTCTAGATAATGATCTTACAAGTATAATACTGAAGGTTCTCCAGCTGGTCCTTGGTCAGACCTCTAAATAATGATCTTACAAGGATAATACTGAAGGTTCTCCAGCTGGTCCTTGATCAGAGAAATTCCCCACCCCCTCGCAGCTACAAAGGCATGTTTTTCGGGCAAAATTATCATAACTTGGTTAGAAATTCGGGTAACCTCAGGTATTTCGCCCCCTCGGACGTAAACCAGGCTCCGCTACTGATAACAACTTTCTCGGGGATCCTGTTCATGACAGTGTTCTGTCTATAACCTAAACCAAACTTCTTAGCTGTCATTTTACAAGGATACCTGCTTGGCTCCATCTCATAGTAACAGTGTTATTGTCTGTCAAAAAAAGAATCATATACATGCATGATAAATGTCTAAATATTTACCAAAGAGATAATGGTCCATTTACCGATACCGATTGGGCAGGAATGGATACATCATCATTAATATTGATTAAGAAATATTCCGTTTAGTGCTGGATCTTATTAACAAAACAACATTAACTTGGACATTAATTTCATCATCAAATACTTATATTGATACATGTCAAATGGATATTAAATTTATCTGTAATATATGGAGAAATAGTAAATCGCTATATGTATACATGTCATATTTATTGTAAGGGATATCAATATTTCCTGGGAATTATGGTAATATGTATTTACTTCTCTTTGAGATTATCAAGACATTTGACAAACAAACTAGACTATCAGATTAATAAATGGTAATTTCGAGTAAAAGTGTAATTGCGGGTGTCGCTAGCGAGGGCATACTGAACCTTTTTTGAAACTATGATGCCACTCGGCGGCTGGGTGCAGTGGCGTTTCTCTAGTTGCCAAGAGGTTTTGTCTAGGAACAGCTGGTAGAAAGGATTCTCTGTGAACCCAAGTTGTAATCCTTGTAATAAAATGGCTGTCTTTACTTTCTTTCGTCCACAAACGGTTCTGTCCTTTTGTAGGATTTCACGGCAACAAGAGTTCTAAACGCCACTCTGGTGAATTATTGTATTTAAATGATTATTTAAGAAGTTTCTAGAATCATGGCGATTCACGGTCGTCTGAGATCTGATTATCGACATAAATGATGGAAAAATAAAAACATTAAATTCCAATTTATTAATCAGTTATCCATCAATTTACTGTCAAGGTTAAGATGATCTCGGGATTGTTTTTTTTTTGTTATTCCCTTCATTCTTGCATATAATATGTTAAACAGTTCGTTGTAGTAGTAGTATCTTACATTAATCACATGCCAAATCTTTCAAAGATAACTTTGAAAAAAGTACAATGAAGCAAAAAGTCAGAAATTGCTTTTTGCGATGTGCAATGGTTTGGCCATTCCAGAACGATCTAGGTTCAGGTTTCAATTTGCTTCTTGTTCAGCTTTTTGTGTAGATTCAACATTTGAGAAGTTTTTAGTTCATGAGATTTATGCACTCTAACTTCTTTTTACAAGTTGATTTATCAATTTCAAGCACTATCTAGAAATAGTACAATGTAAAAGAGAGTAGACATTTTGTGGTGCGCAATAGTTTTACCATTCAAAACGATCTAGGTTCATATTTTTTTCAGGTTTTCAGCCTCAAAATATTGTGAGACATTGTTTAAGTGAATGGGTGTGCAAATTGAATATTAAATATTCAAACTTGTTTTCTAAATGTTAAGAACCATATTATAGAACCTTCTGTTGAATCACATTTTCTCTCTATTTCAGGTCTTACAAGGTTACAGGAAGTTCTAAAAGCACCGGAAGGAAATACAGCTAGATTGACAGTGCGCAAACTCCGTGTTATAAACAACGATTATGTGAATCTATTTAAAGATTTAAAAGAAAGGAGAGCGACTCGGATTATTATAGATTGTCATGTTTCTAGAGTCAAAAAAATTTTACATGCTGTAAGTAACGATTTGAACATGTTTACCATTCTCGGATTAGGATTATCATCTAGCAACATCTTTTGGAGAGTCTCCATCAATAATAATGCTTATTTGATATTTAGATTGGCTAACAAAACATCCATTTGAAGCGTCTATCCACTGAATAATGTTGTCTAGAATTCGGATTATTCAACATAGCTCAAGTTGTTTATTGGATATTATGGTTGGGCAACTAGGCATCTATTTAGATATTTCCAAAATTTTACCAATTTTTGAATAAAATCGTATGGTATATAAACCGATGACACGTTGATATTAACGACATTTAATGATAGCATTGGTTTAACTGAGCAAGGATTTGAATGCGATGGTGCTTCTAGTATAGCTTGTAGGACTTTCTCAATTCAAATTCACACAATATTGTTATCTTTGATCCCATTTTAATATCTAACCGTGCTGTTTATGGTATGAGTGAACCTTTACGACATACTCTTCATTTGGATTCATCTTTTGTTATAAGAATAAATCAATAAATAATTATAATTGTGTTTTCAGGCATTAAAAGTTCACATGGTATCAGAATATTATCATTATTTATTTACTACGTTGGTGAGTTTTATATTTACATCTTTTGTAATGGTACTCTTCTAATTTTATCATTTGACATAATGATAATGATGATTATTTTTGTGCACAGTTAAAACCCAAAACGTGTGCCTTATTAGCAAATTCTTATAGCCTTTTGGCACCACTTTCTGGCTTTTATACTTTGAAACTTGGTGACAGCATACTGCTCTCTCACAGGCATTCTGAATCTAACGTGCTGCATTTCAGTACACCCGACGCCACCCTGAAACTTCGATCCCTCCCCCCCCCCCCCCCTTACATATATTTTCCTCTAATATGTCAGTTTGGAATAAAGATGAAATACACGCGCATCTTTCTTTTCTGTACAGGATTTGGGTCTGGTTGATCTAGAAGATTATAGACATGGGGGCGCGAACATTACGGCGTTAAGACTGATAGACCCAGAAAGAAGAGAAGTGATAGACGTGAGAACGGAATGGCTATTGGAAGAGAGACGGTCAGGAAAATCTCCCTTGATGGGGCAATCTGAAATACAGGTAGGGAAGCCTTGTTATAAAATAGATTGACAGTAATACAAGTATAATCGAGTACAGATATTGCTGCACATGCAATCATTTATAAGAACAGTCCACTATTATTTTCAGGTAGAATAAATATTAATTCAAACTATTTAAACATATCCAGTATACTGCTTGCAGCACCTAGAAATAAAGTGGACTTTTCGTGTCTTTGTATTTGATGTGAAGAAATATATTGGCTCGACTATACTTCCGGTGCTCTGGAGTTACTGTCTAATGGCATCGTTGAGTTTTCTTGGTATAAAAACAGTTTAGTAGTTTTTCCTGTCTGGTACCTGCCCAGACTCATATCTTTATATCGTGGATCCCTACAAATATCTGTTTTGTCCCGCTTCTCGACAATCCACAGAGGATGCCCTATTGTAGCTGTATCCCATAAAACTTGTATATTATATGCTGTTTCTATTTTGGTTCCTCTTGATAAGCTTATTGTCTGTTTCCATTCTTTTTCAAAAATAACTTTATACACCTTCAAATTCATGTACAGTCGACTAAATATTTGCTCTATTAGCTGATACAGAGCTGCATTCGTAGCTTTTTACTAGAATTATACTTAGCCTCGAGTTTTCTAGCAATTAAAGACCACTATTATGAAACTATAGAATGTTTGAATTGTATGAAATCTAGACGCCAAAATGCCACTTCTGAAAAGCTGAAAAAGCTGTTACAGCAAATATTTAGACGATTACATCCCTTTGTACATTGTATAAGGGAAAAATCTTGAATCCATTTCTTGATGTGTGGGCATGAGTCTCCCTGCATTTCTTATTTCATGTTATTAGGCCTTTAACCCTTGACCTTTGACCTCTTATTCTCAATCCTCACGTTTCTCCTATTTTTGTGCTGCTGGGAATTGTAGGGATTTTCTAACGTTTCCGAGGAGATTTTGGTACGAACTTTAGTAGTGATCTTACAGTAGACATTGTTGGTAGACTATAGAAATTTATTCGGATTAAAAAATCTTTTCATCTTTTTGTTAGACAAATATTTGATTTTGGTCGATTCAGCTGTGAAATAGAGAGATCAATGTCAAGAGATTGGCACAAGGACCAACTTGTTGAAAGGATCGTCGCAATCTTAAGTTGTTATCCTTTTAAAATATAGTTGTTTCTTTTTATTTTTTGAGAAAAGGTGTTTAGCTCTGATAATAAGAAATGATTTTTAATTTTGTTTATCTTAGAATTTGCAGTCTACCAACAATGATTTGAATTAGTCTTGTTTTAGATGTTATAATTCTAGACAAGGATGGTATTAAATTCTCGATGCACAAACTGTTACAAATCTAAGTTTTGGAAAATAAACACCTCCCCGTCGAATGAAAGTCCTAATTCGCATATTTATTCAAAACATTTGAATCTTGGTGTCTTGTGATTTTTTACCAATCCTGTCTACCATTATTTTCTCTTCTAGATAATAAATCTCTCAACTTTTCATTTACTTTTTCTTCTCTGTCATTTTTTACCTTTATATATCACAGAAAGTATTTTAATAGCAGTAATATGTTTATCAGAGATATATCAAGCTTCTATTTGCATCATTCCAAGTTTCTTTCAGTAGTTCTTGTAAATCAAGACATTGGACTGGTGATAGCGTCATTGGCAAAATTACCACTTGCGTTGAACGAAGTGATGCAAATAGAATTGATGAGTCTCCTCAGTACATATATAAAGACTAGAAAACCCTTTTTAATATGAATATTCTTTATATTTGATGCACTGTAGTCTCGACACCAGACTTTCTGTCCTGAAAGAGAAAATTCTGCCACAAATTATACAAATTAAAGATAAAATTATAATTTTGAAAATGGCTAAAGAGATTTGAAATTGGACAACAAAGCAATTTAATTCTTTTCTTTCAGATAATTCCGCCCCGTTTTTTTTTTAATTACTTTGAGCGAATATCGGGGGTTTGACGATTGTTCAGCCTCATATTCTAACTGGATTTTTATCTTGAATTCTACCTACGAAAAAAGCGGAATGTCCCTTTAAATTCGACAACTATACCCCGTTAACTTGATTAAACTGAAAGTCTGGTTAACGAGACTATATATTTTTAACATTTAAATATCATATAGAATGTTTTTGAAAAAGATATTTAATCTTATTTTTCTCTATAACATTTCAAAGAATGATACTATTCTTTTTTGCTTTTAAAAGGCGTGCATAGATTCTGAGATATTTTAAATTATGTTTAGTTAATTAGGTTTGGAGAATTTCCAGAACATTTTACAGTAGTCCGATGTATCATCAATATATTTTGGATGAATTCCTCTCTCTCTCAAATGAAACGTCCGTTTTTATTAGCCCACATGGTGCAGAAAAGTAGGACATAAAACTCCATTCATCCATTTCAATTTCTCAAATGAAATCAAATCGAATTTTAGGCTCGAAATTGCATCTTCAAGCATTGCGAACCCCGCCTTATACCTTGACATCACTAGGCACTTTTCTTGTATCATAGGAGACGTATCATCATGGACGCCATTTTTTTAATTGCGCCTTTTCATTAGGCGTGTTTGGTGAAGAAAAGTAGGACGTAAAACTCCATTCATTTCATTTCATTTCACTTGGCGTGTTATAGTTTGACATATCAAAGATCGGTCAAATAGGGACGAGTTTTTATTATCATATAGGAGACAATATAAACCAGATTTACGACTGATAAAAGATAAAGATAATACCTTCATAGATATATTTTATAATAATATTGTTCATTGAACCTTATTCTTGAAACTAAACCTAGAAACAATTTTAATCTTACCCTGAAATATAGAACTCGGTTCACCATTGCCTTAAACTTACAATAACAAGATCAATTCCTCGTGAAAATATTAATTCCAAAAAGTAATTCCAATTTTCAGAAGCAATGTGTTATTTCTGAAGACTTTGATGGGATTATTTCTGGAAATGATTTTAATGCAGATTGAATATTGAATGTTCAAATCGTCGTATGAGTATCGGCCCGTATTTCAATTTTCTTATGAAAATACCACCGCCGTAGACTAAACATGGACTGGAATTGATTTCATTTAGAAGTACATTACCACTTAGATATTGACCTATGATCAAACGGGTTCATTTAAAAGCGACTTGGGGTATTGTAATATTCCCTGGGGTACCAGCGAACTTCACACTTTCAACCAACTTTAAGGCATATTTCTTCTTGATAGATTGATATCGCTTGCCAACCATATTTAATTGCGTGAATTTCAAAGAAAAATCAATATACCATAAAACATTATAATTATACAGAATAATATATTTATCAAAAATTTGTTTTATATCAACGTTAATTAAAATTTCCTTTTTTCAAATTTTTCTTTTGATTGTGATACAAAATAAACTCTACTATACTTTACAGATATAAATGTTTCGCGAGGGATAACTATCTGGTGAGAGAAACTGAATTGAATATCAAGAGGTTTTTGCATGTTTGCATGTTAACTTTCTAAAAGGTTGCTTTAAATAGCCAAGTTACTGTCCAATTTCGGATTTAAAGTGAAAAGTTTATGACTATTGATCTTAACCTTGTAGACTGAAACAGCTTTAGCATACGACGCTGTGCATTTATTTGCACGTGCATTACACGAGTTATCTCAAGCTCAAGACGTCACAACGAGTATTTTATCATGTGATAAATCACAGACATGGAACCATGGTAACAGTTTACTTAATTACATGAAATCGGTGAGTATTGGGTCGGGGTAATTCCTGGACACCTAAGATGTTGAACGATTACGGTCAATCTAGATCACTGCTGAGTGAACGTGCAGAAAGGTTATCAAGGATGTTGACGTCATATTTGTACAAATGTCCGAATTATTCTGTTGAAAATTTTGGACAAATTCCTGTTGGTAGATACATTGTACATGTAATTATCAGACACCTCGGCTTAAAGATTGTTTTATTTTGTTCTGGTTGTATATCAGATAGTAATTATATTTTCGTCTTGATGTAATTTATATAAAGAGAGAAACAGGGATAACATGAGATAAATAAGAACAATATTATTGGATATTCTACTCTTCTTTTAATTCAATTCACAAACAGGAAGGAGTAGGACAGAGTTGTGTACTTTCTACTTTTAAATGTCGTCCAAAGATTATAAGACGTAATCGTATTTAATGTTCTTTTTTTCAGATGAATTTTGATGGTTTATCGGGAAATATCCGCTATGAAAAGGGCGAGAGGGTTGATTTTTCTTTGGAAGTGATGGAATTAACAGAAAATGGTTTAAAAAAGGTAGGCAAATACAATATATCTTGTGCTTCGTGATTGTATCATTATTTATCTACCTTGTAGGTATTTAGTTCTTTTAAGTTATTATTTTTTCAAGTCGGTCGGCCTCTTTTATGATTGATTAATTCTGAAGTAGATCTATAATGAAAAGGAACTCGCTGGAGGAAGCGGCAAATACACCTTCAGCTAAAACACTTGATACATCCCTGACATATGGTTTATCAATTCAGTTTCTGCATCCATTCGATCAAAAAGGCTAATACAATAAGGTTGTGTCAACTCGAAATACATTTCGGAGAGTCCACATAGCTATTAATTTTATCCTGTTTATTTTAGACTGGGACATGGAACCGACTATCAGGAGTAAATATAACATTAGATTATAAAGAGAAACAGGTAGAGCGAGCTAAATCCCTGTCCAATCATACTCTAGTTATTCTAGTTAAATTGGTGAGTCTAGTTTTTATTTTAGTTATACTTTGTCGAACGGACGTGGGAGAAGGGCGGCTGGAGGGAGTGGGTAATTTTACAAGTACTACAGAGAATGCATTGAGAGAGTCTGAGAAAATTTTTGAAATGTGTTGTTGTATGAAAAGCAATAGATATTTGAAACTTTTCTGTGGTTCTTGTAGCTTTTTCCTTGATTAATCCGTCATGTTTGTCCGGAACTATGAGAATTGTGGTTTCTAATATACACATAAAGGTAGAAAATACGAATGGTTTACATAGCAGCTATAAAACCCAAATTTTCGAATGTCTACATTGTCTTTATATTTCATGTGATTGAACTATGTTTCTTCCAGGATGAACCGTATGTTATAAAACGAGGAGAAGGGGACTATATTGGGTTCTGTATAGATCTACTGAGGATTATCGCCAAGAAGAGAAACTTTACCTATGTTATCAAGGAAGCCGATGGTTATGGCTCACAGAGAAATGGCAAATGGGACGGAATCGTGGGACAACTAATGGACAGAGTAAGTAGGCAATTCTGTATCTTTAATCTAAGATGGTATAATTCTGTTACATTTACTCTCAGATTATACAATTGTCGCCTGCAAATGTATCAGTTTCTCTTTTTTTTAAATTTGGAGAGTGTACTTCAGAGCTTTTATTTCATATTTTGGTTTTTCAGCTCGACATCCCTTTCAGAGATTCCACATAGGTAACAATGGTTGTTTTGTCTATTCTATTTTGAATAAATGACACCCGTTTGTTTGTAATTTCAGAAAGCTGATATTGGACTAGGGGGAATGTCCATCACCCACGAAAGAGAGGAGGTTATCGATTTTACCAAGCCCTTTCTAACCCTGGGGATCACTATTCTATTCGCTAAGCCTGTCCCCAAGGCCCCCCAACTATTCTCGTTCCTGTCCCCACTGTCAGTGGAGGTGTGGGTATATGTGATAGCGGCCTATCTGTGCGTCAGTTTTATGTTATTTGTGATTGCCCGGTTCTCGCCGTATGAATGGTGTAATCCCCACCCCTGCAATGAGAATACTGATATTGTAGAGAATCAGTTCACCATACTTAACAGTCTATGGTTTACTATTGGATCTCTTATGCAGCAAGGTATGCCTTTTTTCATTTATTCCAAATATTGAACACCGCTCTCTGCCTTCATTAGTCTTAACTGGAAACAAAAAGTTAGGACGTTAAACTCCATTGCGAAACTGGGGCAGAACATTATCAATGGCCAGTTATAGCTGTTGACGTAGGGAAAACGATTTTTCAATGAAATGAATGGAATTTTACGTCCTACTTTTCTGCACCATGTGGGCTATTGAAGACGGACAGGATTTGTCAATAAGATTTTTATATTATATACTTTGGCAATGTTGATAAACTATTTCAATTGAATTAGTTGAGATTGCACTTACATCCAATTAATCGACTGATTATTGTCCTTGACTACGGAATTATCTATCATATGGACGTGTACCAATCGAATTCAAGGGCGTAAAACTCTTATTTTATCTCCAGTGTTTACCGGTTGTGAAATTTCACCTAGAAATATTTCAATTTGACCTTTAACATGGTTATTGCCCTTGCCCTAGAGATTTGAGAAGCGTTAAAGTGGAGTATATTTTATTGTAATATTTGTAGGTTGTGAAATTGCACCTAGAGCTATCTCAACTCGGCTAGTGGCTGGAATGTGGTGGTTTTTTACTCTGATCATCATCTCGTCCTACACGGCTAACCTGGCTGCTTTCCTGACGGTTGAGAGAATGATATCACCTATCACTGGGGCTGAGGACCTTGCTAAACAAAGTTCTATAGCATACGGGACGGTTAGAGGGGGCTCTACTATGTCATTTTTCGCTGTGAGTATACTTACCTTTCATGAATTCGTAAAATTCAATCTCTCCTGCTTCATATTTGAGTGTTTGAACGTAACATCAATATAACTACAAGGGGCTTGCTGAAGCTGGTCTGGCCAACTGTCAACTTTTTTAACGTCTAATGCTGTGGGTCCCCTGCCCCTGCCCCCCACCCTCCCCTTACCTAATGATTCATGTAAATCGTTACAGTACATTGCAATGTCTTCTTAGTATTCAGCATTCAGCACGACGTGATTTCCGACAATATTTCCTGGCAACAGTAATAGTAATCAGTGAAATGATTTGTGCCATATAGAGGATAGTTTGCAACATTTTTTTTAAATTCTCGCCTATATACACTGTCTTTTCTTCATTGTTTCCCAGTTCCAACAAAACACCCTAGGTTTGCGGTCGTAATTCTGGTACAAAATAAACATTGCCAATTACTTTCTTAGTCGAATTTTATGGAGAAAAAAAAATGGTCTTATATAGCTTTCAAGTCCAAGTAGATATTCAGCGTTATTTAGTAAGATTTTTACAGTGACAGTCGGATTTGATGAAAAAAAGGCGATGGTCCCATGAGGGTCCGAAAGCTTTCAGACTTGTAAGTGGCATTTAAAACTAACTCTGTTTTTGTTTCAGAATTCCAAAATCGATACGTTTAAAAGAATGTGGAGCTTTATGAACTCGTCATCTGATAATTTTGTGGACAGTAATAAAGAGGGCGTGGCCAGAGTTAAGGCTGGAGGGTACGCCTACCTGGCCGAGTCCACGGCTGTAGAATATACAGTCGAGAGGAACTGTGAACTAGAACAAGTCGGAGGGTTGTTAGATTCTAAAGGTTATGGTATTGCTACACCCAGAAGTAAGTATATTTTACTGATTGGTGGCGTTGGGGGAGAGCGTTGTAATATATTGGGAGGAGGGGGATTGCATTAAGGTCAATGATTAGGGAGGGTGGCGTCTTTGGGTCGGGGACTGCGTTAAGATAGTAGATGGGGTGTAATGTTCGAGTGGGCGGAGACTGCTATATCCTCGATGTTACTGTGTTTCTACACCATAATTCATATAATCCATCTCTAATTATTTCGAAATAATAATAGTATGATAATGCTTGTCTCGAATAATGCAAATTGAGACAGAGTAGTAGGATAAAATTCTTTTTCATTTGGTTGCCAATCGTTCTCTTCCTTCAGATTCACCATACCGAGAATTGATAACAGAAAGTATTTTAAAACTTCAAGAAGAACAGGAAATACACCGACTTCATTCCGTCTGGTGGAAACAGTACGGAAAGGCGGGAAAATGTCGTCAAGATGATGGAGGTGCAAAAAGTAAAGCTAATGAACTAGGGGTAGATAATGTAGGGGGCGTCTTCGTCGTTCTATTAGGCGGCGTTGGTGCAGGTTTTATTGTCTCCCTTTGTGAATTTATTTGGAAAGCGAGAAAAAATGCTCGTGAAGACGAGGTAAGTGACAATTTTACCTTTTGTCGAAGTGAGTAGCCCGCAATGCCAGTCCTATCAATTGTCGTTCCTATGGGAACGTGGGAATAATATTATTCTCCATTAAGACTCTAATATTGTGCATGAAATTTTCCGTTCATTATACCATGGAACATGCTCAATTTTTTCCATTTTCTATTTTTGTAGCAAACTCTGTGTTCAGAAATGGCAGAGGAGTTCCGTTTTGCCGTCCGTTGTGTGTCCTCCAAGAAACCCAGTAAAAACCGAACAAAAGACGTCACGGATAATGGACTACAGTTTATGCCGTTAACCGGATATGGACATAATTCTGTGGGCGGGAAAGAGGTTTACGCATGACACGAAATACAAGTTTAGACCCTTTGACTTTCATCCTAGTGAGTTCTGGGTAATTTTACGCCATTGTTGTGCCATGACCATGCTCAACCAAGTGGTTACACTGCGCATGATCCTTCCAAAATATTGTGTATATTCGTAAAGGAAATCTTCCCCCGGAAACAGCATTATTTTGTAAGTGTGTGTGATGGAGTTTTAAGTGTGCGCGGGAATGGAGCATGTGCCAAAACCTAAAATAGTGCCTTAATGGACCACGTCACTTGTTATATTATAATAAAAATAAATCGGATTCAGAACCAAACGAATGATTCAAAGAAACGAAGAACAGGAATTAAAAATGTCATGACGTCATTGTGTCATATGCTTTTAATGACGTCAATCTCAATTTGACGTAATATTTCATCTGGTGATGTCATTGCTCACTCCAAAGTGTTATTTTACGATGTATACAACTTTTAACGAAGAAGAAAAAGAGTATTTTTGTAAATAAAAACATTGTGCATGTGTCGGGGTGGGGTTTAAATTAGTCTTCCTATGTACTCTGTCTCAATGTCGACGTGTGGAGTCGACTGTTGTCGAGATTTGTGTATTATTTTAGTGTATATAGATACCGTGTAGAATTGTAGATATTATGACGTCATATCGAAAGCATTTTTAAGATATCATACATTTGTATTTTTATCATTATATTTTATAATCAATTGCTATCATTTTGTTTGCAATTTCTCGTATTTTATCTCTTTTGGAATAATTTTACCATAAAGTATATTCAGATTACTGATATTGCTAAAAACCATTTGCTTACTAATCATTATGTTATTATCTTTTGATCATTTCCATTGACAACAATGTTTTAAAATCACTGATATTTTTCCATGTTTTATTCAGTTAAATAGCTTGTGATATGTAACAGTTGTTATGTGTCAGCATAGATCGATGATATGAGTGGGTGAATATGTTCTAAAAACCCAATAGGCAATCTTTGCAATATATCTATCAACCTCATAAAGATTAAAGTTCTATGGATCATTATGAAACGAGGTCATATGTCCAACGCCGAATGTAATATTTAGTAATTTTACCACCTTTACTGTACGTGTCGCAATGGGAATATTAACTATTTGGGATATACAGGACATTTTACATGAGAGCATTTTTTCAAGCCAATTTCACAAATTTCATATTTTAAAAAGCATGCTGCTCTGGTGCCCTTGTCTAAAAGATTTTATATAGAACCGCTTTTGCTACTTTTGCTTTGCGATATTTTGTTGTCGTTTTTACCGTATATTTGCGTATATAGGGCGCAGTTTTATTCTTTTTTTTACCGAAAATGGTCTTGTCATACTGGCGGTGCACGCTAGGGTATAGTAAAGTATTGTATATACAGGTCAATCGGTATATTTCACCAACCGTATTTTATTGGTATTAAATTCTATCATATCATATTTTGATAACCTCTATCATCCTGTTTTTATTTTACTCTATTATTCATTTTATTCATTGAAATCGCGGAGTGTTATAGTCGTTATATGATTTGTATTTTTTAGAACTATAATCTATTCTGTCAATCATCTCCCTCTACGGTTTCAAACCATTACTCCATCGTTTAGAATTAGATTGGTGATGGGAGAGGCGAAGGGTGGGGAGCAGGTGGGGTGGAGATTGGGGGATTCCAAATTTGATCAATCTTTCCACAGAGTTTTAAAGTAGTAGCTACAGGGTTGTAACTTTGGTGGTGACTAAATGGGACGGAGGACAGAGACTGGTTTTAAAATTAGGGGTTTTCAAACTTGATTTAATAATGCCACTTAGATTCCAAAACATTACTCTATCGTTTACCATCTAGAATTAGATTATCTACTATGGCTACCATCTACCGGGGTGGGTGAAAAGATGTAGGTGATAAGAAAAGAATCAGACAACAGAAATGTGTGAGAACTTGCCTTGTAGTCTTTCAATTAGCAAAATATATCGTTTCATTTCAACAGCTAGAAGCACGACAACTGTTTGGTACAAGCGGACAATAGAAGAGAATGCTGATGTAGCCATAGTCAACCAAACCCTTTGTTTTGCAAATAATTTGATATGTCTTATTGTAATTATACAAAATAAACCATCATTTGTAAGATTCTCGGTTCTCTTATCATCTGTAAACGTAAGAGATTCTAGACCCCTGGGCTCTCATCCCGAAACGATCTTAGCCGTAGGATGTCCTAAGTTCTTATCTTCTAACATTGATACTAGGACTAGCGCTAAGATCGTTTCGAGAATACAGGAACTGGGCTCCAATTCTCGAAACGATCTTAGTGCTAGGATGTCCTAGAATCAGTGTAAGAAGATAACAACCTAGTACACCCTAACATTAGGATCGTTTCGAGAATACTTGGCCTGGGCTCCAATTCTCGAAACGATCTTAGTACTAGGATGTCCTAGAATCAGTGTAAGAAGATAAGAACCTAGGACGTCCTAGCATTAGGATCGTTTCGAGAATACTTGGCCTGGTTCCAGGACCACATAACATTTTTCATGCTCATCTGAGTTTTTGCTCAAATTCATAATGCCCTTTAGAAAAGATGCATCAAGAAAAAGTAAAAATTGAAGATTAATGTGATAATACCAGAAACATTGTGTCCAAATGAATAGATTATGTTATGTTAGAATCAGTTATGCTGTTTCAAATTCGATTATATCGCTGCAAAGTCTGGAAAAAGGTTAGTGGCCCGAGGACCCGGTTCCCTACCTAGGCCAAGGTACTAGTAGACCAACTACCTTAGATAACTTGTGGACAACTTCGCATCGAATGATCTGGGTGTTTCATCGAAAGATAAGTCGTCAAACTTACGAAGATTGATTCTGTGAAATTTTTCCGCTATAGACCTGTAGATGTTGTCTGATTTCACAGTTCATATTTTGAATTACCTCCCATAGCCTGAATTTTTTTTTTTTTTTTGAGCATGTCTGAATGTAGGAGATTAGCAGTTAAGCAATATGTTACAAATTTAAAAAACTTTTTAAAATAATATAGTCCCACGATCAGAGTTTTCCCAACTCTCAACTTTTCCATCTCAGTAAGAAAGAAATCGTAATTGATTAACAATTTATTTGTTGTCTGAGTTTTCAAATAAAGTCCGTGTTACTTCCCCTTATTTGTCTTCAGTCGCTGACATGAGACAAATACTCAATGATGAACAGGTTATTTTTTGTGCGTAATTATTGCCAAATCTATGTGCATGAAAAGACTAGTCGTCTTTTTAACTTTCAAATGCGGATCATTTTGGATACGCGTGGATTCGACGGTGAGCTGTAACTGATTGGCTTAGCTAAAAAAAAAGCCCCGTTTCTGAGACTAAAGCCTTATTTATACGGAGATATTTACACTCTTAAGTAAAGCGGCGATGGAACCTCACATCCCAGCAAGTGATTGAGCTGTTTCAACCTTGAAACGTGAAACGCACGTTATCGTAAACTTGCGACTATCGTAAAATCTTCATTTGTCTAATCTTATGATATTTGTAAAACATGTACGCTAATACGAAATGCTCAATTAGAGAATGAACACAGTCAATATATTAATATCCAAGCGTTGAAAAGAAAATACATGAATTTGATGTTGTCTGGTTTTCTTTTTAAACAGTTGTATTACCTCCCTTAACAAGCTTTACTGAAGCAGGTAGGATTGTGCGAACAGTTTATTTATTCAAAGCTCAAAGCTTCCCCATCTTTCAATCCCTTCAATCTAGTATCACGTTTAAATGTAAATAGCTCAGAAATTTATTTGTTGTCTGAATTTCAAATAAACATAGATAAGTGTTACTTCCCCTTATTGAATAGTACTTTCCTCGGCTGATTGGGGGAAAAGCTAGTTTCCAGTTGAATTCATTCATTCAGAGTTCATTTCAGATTTGATTGGAAACATTTACACCAAATTTTGATTTCTTAACAATACGGTAACAATTCAAAGAATTCGCACGAAAAATATACAATTTGATTTATTTTGCAAATCATAAATCGTCATTTTGGCTATATGTTGAAATATTGGATGAAAAAGGGGTCATTTTGAATAACAAATTGCAGTGCGATACCGCTTTAAATTGTACCTTGGATGAAAAGTAAGGACACTACTCGAGAGAGTACTATACATTCCTTTGAGATTCGAACCTATAATGAAATCAAATGGATGGAATTTTTAATTCATAAAACACGAAGTGAATCCAGATATACATTTCATTGAGATCAATAAATATATTCCCTCTCTTTCCTGACCCAGCCCCACCCGGATGAGCAAAAATATATTTGACCCATCATATATCGGTATATATATTCTATTTACTTACACCAATATCGTCAGTAAACAGTAAACAAGTCAACCATCTGTCTCTCTATCAGGTTAGATATTCAGACTCGGGTTTTATAATCCCGTTCTTTAACTGTTCAGTTTACAATTATTATTAATACTTTAACTAATAATTATTGTTTAGGGGTTAGGATGACTATATAGGGTGGTTCAATTATTATAAACTTTGATAACCTCACAATAACTAACCCGCCCGCTCGCGTGGTCTCTATCTTTGATGTTTACCGCCGGTAATTACTGTACAATATCAACTGACGCTAGACTATTCATTTGATTCATCTATTACTTCAATTCATTTACTGTTAAATGTACACTCATCTCTTTACAGCCTTTGATCCTACCGACAAACACACGCGTTCCGTCTGACCACCACGGTCAAATGACGCTAGTCGGCGTTAGTCGACAGTTGGCGATCATCTCCGAACCGCTACGAGTCATTTGATTGGCTGTGACGATGTCACCTGCGCGCGTGTAATGCACGGTATATTTGTTTGATGTGACGAGACAGGTGGGTAAAGCTACGAAACGACTCGAGTTAAAGAGCCGGTCACACAAGTCATCGATTTAATAAAAATAATTCAAATGTTCTGTTATTATTGTCAAATAAATCTTATATCTGAGTCGGCGTTAAATTGATATAAATGTTTGGTTTGAATTATATATTCAGATAAGATATTATTTCATTATTATCTATAGCTATTTAAAAATTAATCGACCGATTTGGACGTTTGGTCTGTGTGTATTTCCCCTAAAGGTAAATAAAGCGATAGTAGAATAGTCGCAATGTTCTAAAAAATATAGCTATAAAATACATGGGCGGGTCTGCGCTTTGTAACACGAACCATTTTCCCATGAAATTGTACAATTAGATCGTATCCAGAAAGTCGGTCGCAAGCAATCTCGATTAATTAATTAAATCATTTTCCCAGCAATCCTTATAAGACTATCACAGCACATTAAGAAACAACAGTTTTTATGGATATAGACTTCTATTTATTATTGAACACAACGTTTCATTACACATACAGGTAACGTTATCAAGTGATTATTAACCATACAGATGAGAACATTATATATACCAGCTTAATACTTAATAACTCAAAAGATACAACAACTACTTATTGTAACAAATAACAATTAGATTACATTAACTCAAACATATAAATGCAAAGCATTCACTAATATACTGTATGTGTAATGAAACGTTGTGTTGATAACGTTACCTGTATGTGTAATGAAACGTTGTGTTGATAACGTTACCTGTATGTGTAATGAAACGTTGTGTTGATAACGTTACCTGTATGTGTAATGAAACGTTGTGTTGATAACGTTACCTGTATGTGCAATGAAACGTTGTGTTCAATGATAAATAGAAGTCCATATCCATAAAAACTGTTGTTTCTTAACATTTTCCCAGTGTCCTATACTACATCAATTCCTATACTATTATGTGAAATGTAATAAAAGTAATATACATTACTATCAATTGAGAGATTAAAAATTGTTTTATAAAC